TTTCATCTCACGCCCCTGTCGTACGAAAGTCTCGAATTTGCATCTGGCTTTAGTTCCGAGCAGTGCCCGGAAGGTATAGTTGCCATATCGACGAACACATTGAGGATTCTGGCGCTCGAGAAACTTGGCGCCGTGTTCAATCAAGTGAGCTTTCCACTGGAATATACACCGCGGAAGTTCGCGATTCACGCCGATTCCGCGCATCTGGTAGTTATCGAGACCGAGCACAACGCTTACACGGAAGAGACGAAGCAACAGAGGAGACTACAGATGGCGGAGGAGATGCAAGAAGCGGCCGGCGCCGAGGAGGCTGCCGTCGCCCGGGAATTGGCGGAGGCGTTCCTATCGGAGGAGCCGAATGAGGCTGTTTTCGGTGCCCCGCGAGCGGGACCAGGCTTATGGGCCTCGCTGCTGAGAATAATGGCACCGACTACCGGCCAAACGTTCGAAGTGCATCGTTTCGAGCAAAATCTAGCTGCATTATGGTAAGTCAAGGAAAGAATAATCTATTAATCTATCGCAATATTATAGAAAAGACTTTTAACATTAATAAATTTTTTCTTTTCTTCTTTCTTTCATAGTCTCTGTCTCGTGAAGTTTGCCAATCAAGGAGATCAATTGTTCCTCATCGTCGGAGTTGCAAAGGAGTTTCAATTAAATCCCAGGGTTAGCAACGGCGGTTTTCTTTACACATACAAGTAAGATATTTTGCTATATTCGCGTGATACATGCATAGATATTAAATTAAACGAGAAAAAAGCCCTATCCTTATTTTTTCACATATTCTTATATCACTAAAAAGAAGAAAGTTATTTTGATTTATAATGTACGATCGAATGATGAGTGCGACAACGTCTGTATTTTTGATGATATAGTCCTGCAGTGCTGATACCCAAAAATATATCGTTCGACTAACGCGGTATTTCATGGGACAAGAAATAATGAAAAACGATCACTTCATTGTTGCAGAGTAAATACGGAGTGTACCAGTATCGAGCTGCTGCACAAATCTCCGTTGGACGAAGTACCGCTGGCCATTTGTCCGTATCAGGGCAGAGTACTGGTCGGCGTGGGTAGGATGCTGCGGCTTTACGACATGGGTAAGAAGAAGTTACTGCGCAAATGCGAGAACAAGCACATACCCAACGCCGTGGTCTCGATCAATGCCATCGGTCAACGGATTTACGTTAGCGATGTACAGGAGTCTGTATACGCCGTGAGGTACAAACGCCAGGAAAATCAATTGATCGTTTTCGCGGATGATACACATCCCAGATGGATCACAACTACATGCGTGTTGGATTACGATACTGTTGCCACCGCTGATAAATACGGAAACATAGCTGTGATACGGTTGGCGACCGGCATTAACGACGATGTGGACGAGGATCCTACGGGGAACAAGGCTCTGTGGGACCGAGGATTGCTGAATGGCGCCAGCCAGAAAGCGGACACGGTGGCTTGCTTTCACGTAGGCGAGACGGTGATGTCGCTGCAGAAGGCGACCCTTATACCCGGAGGTTCCGAGAGCTTGGTTTACACGACCCTTAGCGGAACGGTGGGCGTCCTTGTGCCGTTCACCAGTCACGAGGATCACGATTTCTTTCAGCATTTGGAGATGCACATGCGATCCGAGCACCCGCCTTTATGCGGTAGGGATCACCTGTCTTTCCGGTCGTACTATTACCCAGTGAAGAATGTCATCGACGGCGATCTCTGCGAGCAATTCAATTCGATTGAACCCGTTAAGCAGAAGAGCATCTCTGGCGATCTCGAGAGAACACCGTCCGAGGTGTCGAAGAAACTGGAGGACATACGTACGCGATACGCGTTCTAAATGCTCATCCACGAGTATCGTGTCTTTCGATATGTTGTTCTTCAATGTTTTTCAAACTCGGCGTCCCATAAAAGGTAGATCTTGAGAAATTTGTTGTACATTTATTATAATTTCTATTTTTTACACATAACATTTAACTAGTGTTCTCTCCCCATTTCCAATATTTTCCAACGATCGTAATCGATCGTGCAAACCAAGTTCTATTATATATGACATAATCTGTATAAAAATCGATATTTTCTACATGTGTGATAACTTTATTATATATAAAAACTCTTAATTCATTTTTTAATATATATTCATTAACGTCCAGGAAATGTATATTCAATTTCCTTTAGGCAAATAATTATCACATGAAAAAACAAGTAAAGATATTTTAATAACCTTTAAAAGGCAAATAATCCGCCTAAGTGCACAAATTTTGTATTTCTGTAACAAATAGCGAATTGCTATGAAAAACACATTGATTTGTAAATGTGTGAAAGTAACGAATTTCACATTGTTACGAATAGAAAATATTTAATTTTATTGTATCAGTGTAGATATACACATAACGCGCGATATATTTCACTATTACTACTGCTATTACTACATACCGTATATATAAACTAATGTATTGCTATTCAAATAGTATTATATGATGGTAATTAATTTTTCTCAGCTTATTGCTGTTTTGAAAATTTGCGTATTAGATCATCGAATTTATATAATATTAATTCATCTTTCGCCCTAATAATGATTTGTTTATATCCACATACACACACACACAGCACGATATCTTTGAATATATTTATTAAAGGAGAAGTATTCTCTGTGTATGTATTTCTCTCTCTCTCTTTTTTAGAGACTGAGTCCCTTATATAATATATAATTTAATTCCGTGGAAACTGGAGTATAATATAATCGAAAAATATAAGATTATCTTATTGTTAGTGTTTTGTAGTAGAATATTGAAATACTTTTAATCCTCTTTCTATTAAATTCAAAAATTACACATTTAATTAAAAAATTGTAAATATTGAATTTGTGGTGAAATACACGAATAAAGAATTTAATAATGAGATTTTGTGCGAATTGAGGATGATGAAATCGAAATTGTCAATATATTTTTATCAAACATATAGCACGTGGGGCAAAAATAATAAGTTGATCGTTTCCGGGAACACATTTTCATTAAAGTGATAACATTTATGCAGTAGCGTCGGGCAATCTCCCTCGCTATTTAAAGGATATTCCAGAATATACTGAATTAGAACAGCGGAACGACGGCTCTATCCATTATGCGCCGATGGCGTAACTAGGTGAGCATGCATCCCTGCAAATGCATTCAGCACTCAGTTGCACCCCCCCCCCCCCACCCCCAACCCATATTTGCATGTATGCACACCCTCCTTGGAGCGTTCTATAGCTTCGCAGCGTGAAAATATAGGATGCATCATACGTTAAATTTGAACAAGAAAAACTAGATAATGTATTTTATTTGATTTTTGAAATGTATTTTATTTGATTTTGTATTATTTTATTAATAACTTTATTGTGTGTCAAATGCTATATATTATATATAATAGTAACGTGTGTATGCGTGAATGTATATATATGTATAAAAATAATTATGGATAATTTAAAATATTAAAAAATACATAAGAAAAATTTTTTTTTCCATAAATTAATGTCTAATATCAAAAAATGAAAGAGATGTTTATATTTAACGTACATATAAAGTACATATTACGAACCTATATACATATGCAAAATTCATGTTACGAAAAAATATACAGATATACATATATATATATATATATATCTCCGAAAACTCTTACATCTCCAGAAATTTTGTATTCCCTTTATTTCCCTATTATGCAAAAGAATGTAAAATTATTGTGTGTGCTGTACAATAGTTCTAAAATTATAGATACGCGATTATTTATCGCATGATCAGTATTATCGGATTTACCTCGTAACCGCGTTACGAGATTAGATTTTCAATTGACGGAACGTCACTCGTTCGCGCGGACGATGAACTATTAAGCGTAATAAGCGAAGATAATGAGCGACCACGAAAGATCGATAACCGGCGAGAGAAAAAAAGGGGAACGGCGACCGCTGGAGTACCATGATGCTGGTAACGCGATAAGAGTGTTACCACCAATCCCTTTATATGCACTGTCCAAAGAGAGAGAGAGAGAGAGATGGAAAAGGGTGTGCACCCACGTTCGATAGCTCCGTTGTCGCCGGTGCGACGAGGATGTGTACGCGCCGATGGCTGTATGTATATTATTAGGGACAGCAAAACCGACGATGACGATGTCCTCGACATGCTTAGCATCATGGATGCAGAGAAAGAACACGGTGAGATCCGGAGGGAGGCTGCGGCGCGTCCATGTCCCGTACAGGACGTTTCATATAATATCGCGTGACCATCTGAAATGTCCCTCATTTTGACTCGGGGAAGAGATTACTCTACATTCCGTAGGTCAAGGTTATTGCGCGATAATTCTTGTCGGACGAAGCTTGAAGTGAACAAAACTGTGCAAGAAAAAAAAATCAAAATAAGAATTTCTTTCTAATTTAAAAAGCGATTTTTCAAAGGATACCGTACATGTAGCTTTTTAAATTTATACAATGAACTCGATAAAAAGACTCGCGTATTCATTGAAGAAGACAAATACGGATCTTGAAGAAACGGTGACATTTTGACGATTGTCTCCTCGAGTCAGACAATTTTTAGCAAAGGAGATATTTCAAATGGGGTCGAGAGTCAAATGAAACGTCATGTATATACCGACGTCAAAAGTCTCGATGGTTGACGATCGAGACAGCGGAGTGAGAAGAAGCACGTAGCGATGAAGCCCACAGCTGTCAGCCGCCTACCCTCTAACAAGCGCACGATACTGAAGACAAACATTAGCGGCTTCTCTCCATTTCCGCTCGGAAATCGGTTAACCATCCTGAACAATCGAGTCACGTCTTGATAAGACGAACATTACACACGCGACTTTAGTCATTTATATCATGCATAGGATTCGATCCTCCGCACAGGGTGTTTTCTCAAAGAATATATACAGTCAATGCGATTGCTTAACCGAACCACGAAGGGCGGTTACTAGAGCGCAAAAATTCCGATAAGCGAAATCCGAGGAAGATAGAGAAGCATTGAGAAATTCTGTTTTACTTTCCCCAAGTGACACTCGGCACATTGCATCAATATATGATTAGCAAGATCCGAGTGACGGATCCGCAATGCTCGCGCGTAGAGATCCCCCGAGTCCCTCCTCGCATTTCGGCTGTCTGTGCGCGTTGACGAGCTTCGTGGACAAAGATGGAAAGAGAAAGGAGAGGGAGAGAGAGCGCCAAAAGTCGATCGATGCATTGAGGCGCCTAGGCAGGCAAGGCACAGCTCTCTCCGCGAGCTCAACCCCCGTTTCTCTCTCTGTTCACCCCTGCCGCGACGGCACACGTCGCCTGCAGCGGCGGCGCGCGGGCGGCTGCCTTCCCTCCGGGGAAGATACGCGGTGATGTGCAGTTGCGCATCGACCTCCGGGACGTGCACAACGGGTAGCGGCGCTCCTCGTGAGTGCAGCGGCGACGGTGACGGAGGCGGTGGCGCTTAGGCGGGGTTCCCATCCTCGCTCTCTTTCTCTTTGTCCCTTGCAGGAGACTAAGTCGTCTTTATCGTCGTCGTCGTCATCGTCATCGTCGTCGTCGTCGTCCTTACGATCGAGTTTGTGAAAAATGTCGGTGCCGGCGACTACTATCGTTCGCGATCCGCGATTTTAGCGATTTTCTTTTCTTCCTCGCATAATTCTCGTCGTTGAGCCGACATGCCGTTGTTTGAAGTCAACGTTCGGATCGCACCGTCGGAATTGTCATTGTGATATGCTCGTTTCGCTGGCGACTTATTATGGTAATCGGCGCGTGACCTTCTTTGTCATTAACTCAATTATATCGGCGGATAATAGATTTAAATCGCTCGTGTAATCGTGTCGTGGATGTATGGAGCGCACGTCGAAACAGGTGTTTACGACGCGGCGTCTCGATATATATGCACTGAGCCGCGGGACCGATCGATTTAAATCTGGACCGCTTAAGATCTGGAATTGACGCTAACACGATTAAGTCCCAGAATCCTCCGCAGGATAGAATGACTCTTAATTCTTGCTAATTATTATCGCGTTACATTGCTGCGGAAAAAAGATTACTTTAGAGAACGATTATTTAAATTATTAAGATTAGATAATTAGGATTTGTAAATAAAACCTTTTCAAGAAGCGTACAATATATCGCAGATCGGTTTTTCGCTGAGCAGGAGATAGCTGATACCGGAGGAGGATCCGATAACAACGATAGACAACAGTGTCGATCGCTGCATCGCATCGTCTCACTGCTGTTGCTGCTACTGCTGATCGCTGACGCGTCGAACGGCGTTGGCGTCGGGGGTGGCACAGGGGGAAGCGTCGGGAGCAGCGGAGGAGGAGGAGGAGGCGGCAGCGGCACCTGCGGGTTGGCCGAGTTGACGTGCCGGGACGGCCGATGCGTGCCGATCGACGCTTACTGCAACGGCGAGGATGACTGCGGCGACGGCAGCGATGAGCCGGCGATGTGCACCCCGTGCAATCGCACGTACCACGGTCGCGAGGGACGCACGTACAAGTTGGATCTGCCCAGACCAGCCGAGGAACGTCTGCCGTTTCTATGTCACCTGACATTCACCGCGGCCGGACAGGGTTACGGCGAGCTAGTCCAGCTACTGTGGGACGCGTTCAGCGTCGGTCGCGTCGACGCGAACGCCGACAACTACTTCACCAGCTGCCCCGAAGGCTCACTCCAGCTGGCCGAGCTCGGTAGACACTTCACTGGTGGCTCGTGGTGCGGCGTCGGTGAGGGTCGTGCATCCTACTACAGGTCTGTCTATTTGTCTCTCTCTTTTTCCTCTTTAGCGCCTCTTTCTTCCTCACCACAATACCACGACTGATAATATGTAGTTTTTGATAATTCTCCCTCTTTTACATCTATCAGAAATTAAGAAAATAGAAACAGATATTATATAGAAAATTTTAAATAGTGAAAGTTTAAAATAATCAGCATTAATGAAGCGATCGATATTATTTGAAAAGGTCAGAAATGAGTTAAACGAAACAAAGATTCAAAAAGAAAAGAGAAAAAGAAATTGCGTACCTAATTTGAAAGAATCTTGCTGCTTCTTTCCCTCAAAATTTGTTCAGATCTCTCTAGACATGCTCATTTCAAAACTTGTTATTATCATCGTCATTACTTTTTACAGCGAAACCAGTACAGTCACTGCCTCTATACGGCTGTTTCATGCACCATCGACGGTGCCGTTCGAGTTTCGTCTCCGTTTCCGCTTTGTTTCGCGCAACGAGGCGGTCGCCCGATTGGGCAAGCCAGAACTACCGGTCGAGCGAGGTTCCCCGGTGCCGGGCACCTATTGTTCCCGCAACTTTTACGAATGTCACCTGAAGCAGTGTCGCCTGCAAAGTCCGAACTATCCCGGCGAGTATCCGCGCAACGCCAGCTGCCTGATCACCGTGCGCCAGAAGGAGGTGCCCACATGCAAGCACGCAATGATATCCGTCAAGAGCACGTCGACCGGGCCGGTCGGCCCCAATGCCGCAGTCAACACTAGTCTCAGTGTCTGGCAGGACTGTCCACCGGAGAGGGATCGCTTGATCTTTCGCGATGGCGCTCGCACCGAAGATCCGGTACTCTTAGTGTATTGCGGCGGCCCGTTGCCGCAGATAACCGCGCGCGGACCCGCCATGCAGGTGGAGTTTCGCAGCTCGCCGGTAGCAATACCGTTGGGTGCGTCGTCGCTGCGACTCGAGCTCGAGCTACGGGTCGTTTACGTCGACTCGGACGGTCTGGACTATGCCAAGGGCGCACAGGGCTGTCATTTCTTCGTCAACGGCACCGGCGTTGGCGCCAAACGGAGCGGCACGATACGGGCGCCGTTGCACGCGCTACCACCTGGTTCCAATTGCACGTGGAACATCAAGGGGGCGATCGGTGATCGCGTGTGGATATACTTCTCGTCATACTCGCAGCGTGACCTGACTGGCAACGGCGAAAACAACGCCAGCGCCGGCCAAGACAGCACGCCGTTGTCGCTACCGTGCGCCGTTAAGCTCTTCTTCTGGGACGGGGCGCCAAACACGGGTCAGCCGATGGCCACGCTGTGCGACGACACGCCCAAGTTATGCGCCCACGCGGCGCTCCGGAACATCACCAGGAGCACGAGACCCTGTACCAAGGACGAGAGCTACTTGACAGCCGCACCGAGCCTGACGTTACGTATGGAGACTGTTCTGGGTACCGCCCTTCATCCGATCAACTTCCATGTAAGTGTATGGGTTGTTACATCTAACTCAATCATCTATAGTATTTCTATTGTATATATACGTCTCTTTAATTAATTTAATTATATAAATTATATATTATATCTATATTATATATTATATAAATTAATAAATTAATTAAATTACTCTCACAGTATAATTAATTTATCTTGAGAAAGATCAATATATTTTTAGTCAGCGCGATCTTTTTGCCAAAATTTTATTTTACTTTTTTTTTTTTATTTAATAACTATATTTCCTTTCCTTTTTTTGTTTTAATGGAGTGATTCTTATTGAAACATTCGAGAAAGTATGTTGAGATTTTAATTAATTAAAGGAATTATAATTAATTAAGAAAACTTTCTATGTATACTGCTTTTTGCATAAAATATTTGTTTCTTCCACCCGAAATAATTATTTCATCACGTAAATTTCTGAAGGAAGACGTTTCTTCAGTAATTGGCTCTTGACCTCAATATTAGTTTAGCTTAACGCTATAAAATTATACCGCATCTCTGTAGCAAACATCGTCTTTGCGCGCCATTACATGCTTACAAGATAACTATTGATAACACAACAATAAACTTTGAGCAACGTTCAAGCACGATTCACGCTTCGTTCACCCTGCAACACAGAATTAGAGTTTCGTAACATTTCTGGCGTTGATTTATCAGGTCTTTCGCTATACTTACTGAATAATACCGAACAGTATTACCAATTTACGTAATTTCGGGAACCAGCTCTCGTACATAAAATTCCCATCTCTCTCTCTCTTTCTCCCTCTTTCCTCTTGTAATAAATACAATTATCTATTTATCTCTCAGAATCAGTCGAGACTGATGCGCTGAACTTATCGTATCGCTCACTTTAATTCCCTGTATTTTCATTCCAGGCGCGATACGAATTTGTCTCCACCCTTCAATCCGGCGAACCCTGGGGCGATGGTGTCTGCAGCCGAGTGTGGCGCAAAACGCGCACTGGCGAGGTGATGTCACCGCGCGACGTACGCCTGTTTGGCCGCGGTGGTTCCAGCAAGTTAGATTGCAGGTAAGAACCGAGTTTCTCACAAGTGGAATATAATCGAGTAGCTGTCACTGAAAATCGAAGACAGATAACAAGCAGAGAATTTAGGGTTCTAACTTGTCTTTCAGAATTCTAGTATTCCTCATGAGAGACAAATACATTCTCGCTAAAAGCATTCATTTTGTACTTAAAAAACAATTAATCTAAATCGAGAGTATTTCTCAAGTAATGTAGCAGTTTTGACGAGTGATCTTCAAACTACACGAAACGAAATTTGTAGATATCGATTTCGATTAAGATTCGTGAATACACAATTGACTTTGATACTAATTCTTACTTCAGGTATCGCGTGGAGGCCGGCAGCGGCGAGCGGGTCCGTCTGATACTGCACAATGTCAGTCTGGGCGAATCCACCATGTGCACCATGAACGATTTGGATCCGCATACCGGCAGACCGCGCTGCGTTCAGGAAGTCGGGTCCAGGGAGGCACGTTTGGTCATCTACGAAGCGCCGTGGCGGGACGTGAAGGTGCCCCGGGCGTGTCTGTGCGACAATACGTCGCACTTGCCATTCACGTACGTCTCCTCCGGCCGGGCGATAGAAATAACCTTCGTGGTGGATCAGCAGGCACCTCACGAAGACTTTGAGACGCTTTTCTTCTATGCCAGCTTCGAGTTAATCCGCATGCCGGAGTGCCCGCGCAAGCAGAGGATCCGCGGCGAGGGTGGCGAAATGAGATTCGTGACGCCTCCGCTGTCGAGACCAGACATCTACTGCGAAGGTTTCCCGTGGCTGGTAGAGGCGCGCGAGAACCGGTCGCTCTTCGTCCTGACCTGGGGCTGGTTCCTACCGTTGGAACCGCCGACCGTCAGTCCCGAATCATCTTCTGGCGGTACCGGCGTCGGCGATCAGGTCAAATGTCCGACCACTAATCGCATCCTTCTTTATTCCGGCTGGCCGCAAAAGCTATTAAAGGTGGTGTGCCCGGCGGAACCGGGCGCCCGCGAATTCACCGTACACGTGTTCTCGGAGGAGTGGTTGGGCGCGACGGAGGAGGGCAAATGGCCGGGTCCACCGAGACCACCGGCGTTACTGCTGGATTTCGTAGCGCGGGAATCCGGACAGGCGGCCGCGTCCTGGTTAGAGATCTCCAAGAGCCGAGCGGCGCTGCGCCGACAGCTACGTCTTCCGGAGAGGGGCGTAACGACGGAGAACGAGACAAACGGCATGCCATCCCACATCGGTGACTGCCCGCACAAGTGTCCCGAGCTGGGCGCGTGCATCGCGGCCAGTCTCTGGTGCGACGGACACGAACACTGCCCATCTGGTCACGACGAAGCCAACTGCGGCAACGGTGCCCGATTGCTCGGGCTGCTGCCGTCCACTGTGTGGCTCGTCATGGCCGGCGTCGCTGGAATTGTCACTGCCTTTGCGTGCCTATTCACTATTCTTATTAGCAGGTACAAACTCGAGAATCCTGAAAAATTGAACAAAAATTGTATCAGGGCGTTATTTTTCTTCTTTGTTTGTCATTAAAAAAAATTGCTATTATTAATTAGTATAGTAAAATAATTTTATATATAAGATTAAGTGCGTTTTACGAATAAAATCATATATTTCAGAATTATATGAATAACGAGATTAATTGAACGACGTTGAAGTGTGTAAAGTGTGTAGTGTTAAATGACGAAGATAAAACAGGTCAGGGTTCGTAGAATATAGTATATGTATAGGAAAGATATGTGAAGATACTTTGTCGCATGAGAATCCACGCGGTCTCGCGTGTCGGAATTTAACAAATATACTGCCTTCTTCGCACGTGGAATTATTCTAATGTCAAAGAGATAAGTGCGTTTATATTCGCCACGCACGATAGAAATTATACATCTTTCAATTTGGGCTCTAGATTATCCCATATATACGAAAAATTTATTTACATCTCATCGCATCTTCCAAAAAAATATATATATATATTATTTTCATATATTCTTTTATATATGTATATATATTAAGATATATTATTTTTACATGTTATTATATAAAATATATTAATGTTACTTGTAACATTTTTTAATTAATTTACACATACAAAACACATGATTTTTATGTTTGCAGTTTGTTGCATTTACTTTTTTTATCTAAATATAAATACGTATATATTTATTGTATACATATAAGAGGTATTTATATAATATAGATTGTAAGAGAGAGAAAGAGAGCACACAAGAAAAAAGTCGCAATCGTAGAAGCAAAATATTCTAAAACGACGAGAGAGAACAACGTTGGCTTTCGCGCTATTGAGCTTAATATCTTTTTGATTCTTCTTTTACGCACTCTGTGTATTTTCTTTTTGGAATAACGGAGACAGAGAAGCTCCATTGCGATACAGGTACTATTACAATATCGAATGAACGAAAGAGACACATCGATCATTCCATCGTTCCAATTCTTCTTCCAAAGTTTCAAACACCTTGTATATCTATAATCATTCGCGCGCGCTCTATGTAATATAGGGTGTTTTACACATTCACACACACACACACACACACACACACACACACACATAAAACTTTATTGACAAACTTCCAAAACAAATCTTTTTGTCGGAGACGAGAATCTTTTTCCGCGTTTATTATCGGAATTTTCAGACGCGTCTAAATTATTACAAATGTTTTCCAACACTCTGATATTGTTTGGAGGTTTGCCAAGGAATTCTCAATATCTCTCCTATATATGTTAATTTTATACTATTACAAGAAAAAAAATATATATATATGATAAATAAAAATATATACATATATATGATAATATATGCTACGTATGCGTATACAAGGTGTCCCAACGATAAAATAATAGATAGAATATGGCAAAATAGCGATAATTGTCAGGACCCTTTGTGTATGTACGTATGTAAGTGTATATATATAATATTAAGGTAGACATAATATATACATATAGATAAAAAGAGAATTATATGCACCGGACCAGTAGAGAGATGATTGTTAGAGGAAACATATTCGCGAAGCGCGTTAAAGGCTCAACTCGCTCGTTATTCGAACCGTAGTGTACGGGATACTATTAAAAAAAAAAAAAAAAAACTACGTGAAAAAAAGCACTGTGCCACTCTCGTGTATACACACCAATTTCAATAAAAGCGACAGCTCTTGTAGGAAACATCGGAATTTTGGCGTATCACATTTATGTGCCATCTTACTTTTTCTTACCACATTCCTTTTTTCTCTTTTGCTTTATTGTTTGTTTGTTTGTTTTTTAATTCGAAATCTATGCCCTCGATATCATCTATCTTCTTCTGTCATCCGTCCGTCCACTAAGAAATCACTCCGATGAGTCTCATACACAAACTCTATATTCATTTAGGGAGCTTTCTAGCAAAAAACACACATAAATACAATGTCAAACGATTAGCTATGAAACTCTACTCGATATAGCCATTTGCGTGATTTTGTGTCTACCTGTGTTTTTTTTACTCGGAAGCTCCTTTAGCATGCTTTAGCACTATATCAACAATTGAATTCTGAATATAGCCATAACACAAATAGTGACTTTACCGGCAGTGTTGAAGATTTGATATAAAACTTTCGCTTCCAAAAATAGATGACAGTACTGGAGTTTATATAGGGTCGGTAAAAGAGTGAATTACCTAACCAACACAGAGTCAAAACGAAGAAAAAGAAAGAGGTATAAACGTAACCTCTCTCGTTGTCAAAAAAGTGGACGCGTTCGATAAAACATGAGAAAAGTAAAAAGATAATATTATATTTATATAAAAACAAGATATCCATAGAGAAGGAAAAAGCAAAACACGAAATAATACGGAAAAAGAACAAATACGTTGTGTATAATAACGGAAAATGATGAACGAAAAAATGATGGATGCGCGAAGACGCGAGAGAGAGTTGATAGGATTACGCGGAGTACCTGAGGCTTGGAGCAAATCTCCTATTCATATCGAACAGTACGTACTCTTTGTATTTGACAATGTCAACTTTACAGCGATACTATCTGAAAAAGAATTAATGTCGCGAAGAATTATATATTATAATTTGTAATTCAGATCATTAAAATATTAGTGCTGTTACTTGGACAAATTTATAAACTTGCAAGTTTAAAAAAAGCTATATATGTTGTACAATTTCATTACAGGATCGTTAGCGATTCATATTTATATACATAGTCAATGAAATATATACAGCATTAAAATTTTGGACAATTTTTTCATTCGCAGTAGTTCAGACGAAGAGTCTGAAGATCTGATCAAACAGAAGGATAATATTATACCAAAGGATCGCAAGAGGAAAAAACACGATACTAAAAAGAAGGTATTTAGATTAATTCAATCAATATTAAATCAAATATTTATAATAATATTAGTAAATACCTTAATAACATTAGTTTACATCTTATAGAAGAGTAAAAAACTGAAAAAGGAAAAGAAAGCAAAGAAGGAAAGAAAAAGAGAACGAAAGGCGAAGAAGGAGGCAAAGAAGGAGAGGAAGAAAAGAAAGAAAGCAAAGAAAGACACAGACAGTAGTAGTTCCGACGATAGCAGCAGCAACAGCAGTGACGAGGAGGTCTGGATAGAGAAGACCGCCGTCACAGACAAGCCGAGACTGAGGAAAGGTTCGAGTTCGGACGACAGCGACGGAGATGATGGTACGATAGGACCCGCTCCAAAACCACATGTGACTCTCTCGGCCAAGGATTTCGGTAAGGCCCTGCTACCAGGCGAGGGTGCGGCAATGGCAGCTTATGTAGCAGAAGGGAAACGTATACCCAGGAGAGGTGAGATCGGCCTCACGTCGGAGGAGATCGCCTCGTACGAATCCGTCGGTTATGTGATGAGCGGCAGCAGGTAATGTTTATTATACATTAAAAATTTCTACAGCCTGATTATATTCTAATACGTTATTAAAAAAAAAAAAAAGAATACATAATCGCGAGTATTAATGTAAAATTAAATTGGCCAACATCGATAAAGTATAAAGAATACTTTTATCGATGCGCTTGTTAAAAATATATACATTTTAAACATTCTATTTCTCTCTAAAGACATCGTCGCATGGAAGCAGTTCGTATACGTAAGGAGAACCAGATCTACTCCGCCGATGAGAAGCGTGCCTTGGCAATGTTCAGCAAAGAGGAACGACAAAAGAGGGAAAATCTTATACTAGGACAATTCAGAGAGATGATTAACCAGAAGAAATTGGCGCAAGAGAAGAATTAAGTAAAGACTAACATGTATATAGAATGCAAATTCTCTTGTATAAATTTTTATATAATCCTAAGCCTTTGTATATTAAGTAAAATACAGCATATAGAAAATGATATATCGATACATATATATATACTTAATAAATACTATTCAGTTTGTCAGAGTGTTTGCAACAATTTTGACAAAGAATATAATACGCTCAATTGAGTTGATAATAAATCTTTACCTTTTATTATTTACAGAAGTAGAACATCACAGTATCATTACAATGTGAAATATAAATAAATCCAACAGTGAAAATAATCTTTTAATACATCTCTAATGACAGCTCTCCACTTTTTTTATTCGATTAATTTTTTTTGTGCTTGTTTTCCCACTCTTGCCAACCTCCGGTATAATTATACGCCCTGTGGAATAGATAAATGGATGTTTTGATATAATCGATATAATCTATGATTCTAAAAGAAATCATCAACGTACCTTGTATATCCTAATTTCTGCATCGCTTCTTGCACTGCCCCACTTCTTTTACCAGACCGGCAACTGAATATGATTTTTGTGTCTTTACTAGGTCTATGTTTGCCATAGCGTTCCTCAAATTCCTCTTCCGAAAGGTTTAGGAATATATTTTGGACATCATTCACTGAATAAGTATGTGTATATATCATTATTAAATTAGTCTTATAAATTATATATTCTTATATACTATGTATAGTATTTATATGACTGAAATACGATGACTATTATATTATTATGTTACATTATTTGAGAAATATGTAAACTTTCCAAAGAACTTATGGATACGAGAGAAGATTTCTACTTGGTATATGAATGCTTCCGGGTAATTTTCCAGTCTCGTTTATCTCCGCGTTCTCTCGAACATCGACGATGAGAATGCTATCGTCCTTTTGCGCCTCCAGAAGCTGCTGGTAATCAACGTTGAGTGCCATTCTGTTTTCGCAATGGATCGCGGTGTCCACTTTGCGATAAGACAAATTCGATGAATATAAACTTCGCGTTACTGGAAAGATTCGATCTTATATCACTCGTTACATAAAATAAGACATTTCATGACAATAACAATCCTCTATAAAATCTGTCAATGATCTTTGCAAAGGCTATAATAAAATAAAAAAACAAGCAAAATATATTTAACGCAATTTGGATTTCTACCGTCAGTAAGAAAAAAGAAAGATACGCACGACTACCCGTTGGACAGTCAGATATGACTTTCACAAATCGCTGATAAGACGGATATATTGACGGATTTCTGTGCAAAAAACCCGGTGACATGAATACTTGATAAAATCGACGATATTTCGTATACATGGCGAGTGTCAATTTTTTGATGATAAACAACTGATCATTACGAAATAACAGCGATAAACGTAAAAAATAAAATTGTAAGAAACATAAAAATTAAAATAGCAATAATAGTAAGAAAATATATGTAAAAATAAGGTAATTATAATAAGAAAGTAAAATGATGTGGAAAATTAATATTTTCTATCTAATATATCGGCGCGTTTCCAATCGGCCGGAGCAGGCCGAAGGCCAAAGGGGCCAGGGGTCAGGGGCGAGAGAAGAGAGAAGCGCAATGAGAAGTCAGCCCAATTCGTCCTGGGGCCTGGCAGCGCCGCCTGGCGAGGAATGTGGCAGCCAGTTCTTTTTATTTCTCGCGTACGGACACAAGTGGAGAGTGTAACTAATTTATCGAAGATAATCACGGAGAGATACTGGGCCTCGGTATTATCGTACTTTCAAAACGAGTGAGTAAAATCGCGTGGGGACCGGGGAGACTTTGAGTCGAGATCGGCAATCGGCGTCGCCGTCGTCATTTAGTCTTGCGATTCTGCGCGGCCACTGGTTGGCAGATACACCCCGATGACGACGAGAGAGACGATGCGCCCCATTGTTTATTTATACGACTCTCCGGGAGATCCGTCGAAGGGTCTACCTGAGTAGAATCAAATTTGCAAAGGGAGATCCGCGAATGCGATATCCGGATCATCGCACTTCTTTCTTTCTTTCTTTTTCCTGCGTATCTCTTTCTGAAAGGTATCCCGTTTTTTTTTTCTTGTGTGTTCTTTAGACGGACGTACAGAATAATCCACGTCAAATGAGCTGAACTTTACGAAAATGAGCTCGCTACAGCAAGGAAACAGGTTTCTCCCATTCCCGACTAATAATCTACAAAGGAAACAACTGTCTATGCAAGGTGTGTCTTTATATTGTGGTTTTCATAAAGGTGGTAGCGATAATAAGAGACTGTAAAATTTACAGTGTACATTGATAGCTGTTCTCAGGAAGACGCTAAACGAGATGTATTTCTTCTCCACAGGTGGTCTTCCTCAAAGTTTGAGCGGCAGCGAGACTGATGTTTCCACATCTAACGAGAATTTAAGCAACGAAGAAAGATATGTCATAAGACACACGGCGCGACAAGAGCCGCAAGGTCAGGAGAATCAACAGCAGAGTCCCTCCAGGTCTTCCAGTCACAAGGAAAACATACCAAATATTCAGGTACGTTTAAAATATATTGCAATAATTGTAAGAGAATTATAAACAATGTGAAATAATTGTGCAAATGTATCTTTTATGATTCGATATCATCTCGTAAGACTAAGATAATTTGTCACAATACAGGGCAATCTGCATAACAGGAACAGTCTGAAAGATAGTTTGAATGGATCAAACAGGAACAGTCTAAAGGAGAGCTTAAACGGCTCCAATCGGAACAGCCTGAAGGACAGCATCAATGGGTCGAATCGGAATAGTTTGAAAGATAATTTGAGCAATCGTAGCATAGGTTCGAACAGAAGCAGTTTGGATGTATCGACGAGTTCTTACAATACATTGATTATACACAATGCCAACGACGACAGCTCATGGATACCGTCAGGAAGGTAAAAGTTTTTTAATTATTTTAAAGTCTACTTTGCGTATGTGTGTGTGCGCATTTGTGATTTAATTCATGTGGATAGATTATCGGGCATGGTGAGAGAACACGCAGACGTCGGCTACTTGTATTGCGATGGCAATGGCAAGGGCCATACCAATAGTCCTACGATGCAGTCCCTATCCAATCTACCACACGAGGATTATGTTCATGAACAATCTGGCGGCAGTGGTTGTCAGGAAATTACGGACATCCCGGATGATTATCTCAGTCAATCTCAGGTGTGACAAATCATCAATATAGCAATCAATTAACAAATACTGAAGTAAATAATAGCTAACTTGTTTCAAAAGTAGTATTATAAATAATACTTTGAATACATTACAGGTTTTGAAACATCTCGCGAAGGAAGTAAAGGTGCCGCCATATACCAATAATGGAGGTAGCTTGGAAATGAGATTGGGAGAAATGAGAATAAGAGACGGTGATAGGGGGAAGCAGAGTGATAACGAGTACGAGAACAGACGGTGCTACATATCCACCCTGTTACCGTTTAACAAGCAAAAATTTCTCGGGCCGACCGAGAAGTTGACTGTATCGCGATCGCAGCCCGACCTGTCTAAAGTCCTCAGGGAGGAATTGTATCTCACTCGAGTGAGATCACCTCGGTAACGTTATATCTTCTGCGCGTATCCGAATATTTGCACACCACAGTATCTTTTTGACACGATTGATCTTTATAGACCACAGACCAAGGGACGGGAGGAGATAGAGAGGGAGACGACTGAGATATGGCCGCCATCGGAAATGGTTCAGATAGTAATCCAGGAGAACAGCGCATTGAAGCTGGAGCTGGAGCGCTGCTACAACAAAGTTTCCAAGTCGCAAAAGTTGGAGCACGAAATAGCCAAGGTTCATCGCGCCCACGAGGAGCTGGCGGCTTCGTGCGAGCGACGGGAGAAGCTGGAGCGCGCCGCCCGACTGAGACTGCAGAACGATTGTCGTCGATTGACCGAGCTGAATCGCGCCCTGAGAGACCAGATCGACTTGCTGTCCACGCGCACGGACAGCCCGCCGATCGTCGAGACCATGCGAAAGGAGCTGACGCAACGCGAGCTACTCATCGGACAGCTCATCACTCAGAGTACGTTAGAGCTCCGATCCGATCGCACATGAGAATTCGAGTGCTAAATCTGTATTTTTTTGTAACTATTGCGCTCTCGCTATGTTTTTAGATAAAGAATTAACCGCTGCGAAGGAGAGGCAGGAGATCGAACTGGCCGCTCAGCGGGCCACTTTGCAGGAGCAACGTACGCACATTGACATTCTGGACACTGCCTTGACCAACGCACAAGGCAATGTCGTACGGCTCGAGGAAGAAGTAAATTGATTTAATTAATTTAACTGATGAAGTATTACATGTACATTGAATACTCCAGTTATAGTAGACGATCTTTTATCAACAGATTCGTTGATTAGTTTGGTGTGTAATAATGTTTGAGCTTTTGAGATAAAAAGTCCTAAATTTTCTGCCAATTATAGTAAAGAGAGTTTTTACCGTCTGTACAGTGTCGTAAGAAGCAAGTGTACGTGGAGAGAGTCGGTCAGCTTCAGCGAGCTTTGTCTTCGCTTCAAGCGTCTAGTGATAGACGAGAAGAGACGGAAAGACAATTGAGAGGTCAACTGGAGAAAGAGTTGCGCGAGGGTGGCGGGGGTGGTGGCGGAGGTAATTGCAACGAGCAGACGTCGAATGGCGAGACCATCGCGGATCTGAAACGACGGTTGCGCGAGAGGGACGAGAAGATTATGTCTCTCGAGGGAGATGTGGCCAAATGGGAACAACGTTACCTGGAGGAAAGCGCGCTGAGGCAAGCGGCCATCGACGCAGCTAGCTTACCGAAGTGAGTACAAGAATCTTTCTGAGTTTTACGTATCACGCTAATTATTTTTCTTTTCGTTACGCTCACATTTTTGTTCCGTTCAGAGATGCAAAGATCGCCGCACTGGAAAAGACCAGTCAAGACGCGGAGAAATTAATCGCCGAGGCACGCTCCGAGAAGATGAGACACATGGATGAGGTGCATGCCGCGCAAAAGAAATTGGCCGATCTGGAATCCAGGTAAAATGAATCTATTTGTACGTCGTTTAACGACTATTTGGAGTTTTTACGAATCTCATTTCTTATCCGACAGGATGAAGGATCTGGAGTCGAAACTGGCCGAGAGAGACGCCATGATTAGGGTGTTGCAGAAACATACGTACGATAAGGCGGACAGCAGTAGCAGTAGCGGCGTGGGCAGTTACCCCGCCGCGCATTCATCGCACTCAAGTACATCGGCGGATCATCATACCACGCTGACAAGCACACCGGAACTCGGTAAAGATGATCGCATTTAAACGCGATTTAAATGTTTGAAATTCTCCTGCAATACTTTTTTTACGACATATGATATTTTTATTTTCTCTTAAAAGTGAGTAGCGTACTCGGTGGTGGCAGCGGTTACGGCAGCACCGGTTCCTACGGTGTCACCGACAGTTACAAGTATAGGAAACAGGGCAGCTTCGAACAGACCAATAAGAGCCTCGATGATCAATTAAAGGAGCTAGACTCGCAGCTGCTTAGCAAGGTAAGCGTAATAATTTAAGCGTAACATGTCCGCTCATGATTGTTTTCGATCAAATATTTAGGTGGTGATCGAGTTTCGAACTCTGTTTCATCGAATTTTATTTCTGTCTCATATCACGATCTGTTGTTTTTTAGACACACACATGCGCTTCGATTTAAATTAATATTTACATTTCGTTTACGCATTAATATTTCTTTTTTTTTTTTTAAATATTTTATTATAAAAAAACTTCCCGTTATTTTAAAACGAAACTGTTGCCGAATTCTGCGAAATTCGGCTAGCGGCTAGGTTATGTACAATCCGATTCGGTTTGGTTAAATATTAGTTCGCATAGAAATATATAGAGGTCGCTATTTTAGAATAAACCATGAATATATAAAATACATAGATTGGGTATTAACCGTATTTGTTCAGTTTGTTCTTTTCAACTTCTTGCACTTTTCGTTTTTTTTCTTCTCTTTCTCTCCAATTTTTAAATATATATAATTATCTCATTTCGTTCCAGTAAGCTCAGTTAAAAAGAACAAACCTAATATTGATCGATTTTGTTGAGAATTATTTATATATTTTTTCGAAAACACGCAGCAATAACGCATCGGTCTTCGTCGTTTATTTCACGATCCAAGATATGTTTTCTTCGTCTCTCCACGAGAATCTTTTTTCGAAGCGAGTCGCAAGGATGCCGAAATCAAGGAATTCTCAAGAAATGAGGTTAGTCCTTGAAATTCTCTTTTTTATGTCATTGAAAATCCGAGGATTTACCTTTCGTGTCACGCAAATTCTAGCGATTCTTATTTATAGATCCCGTATTCACGTAATTTTGCCTCTATTTTATAGTGCGAAGAATTATAATTATGATTATTGCATTATTGCATCCCGTATTGTGCGTGTGTGTATATGCGTATATGTGGTGTAACAAAATATTACGAAATTATAATATTATATTGTAATATGTATATATATATATATATATATTATATATATATATGTAACATATATGTAATATATGTATATGTAATATATTATAAAAATATTGCACAATTATAAAATATTACATTATCCAAACTCGAATTAAATTGACGCGCGCTCATGTGCGCAGACGCGGCCAATTCAAACTTGTCGGACAGCATCGTGTCGTTGAATATCCTCTTGTCGCGTAAAAACGCGCGAGGTACAATTATTTATTATTAGGTACAATTATTTATTATTTATGAGATTCGCTAGGCGATCGTTGAAATCGGCAGAATGTACGTGCATTCATAAGATTCTTATGTTTACGGCAGTAAATAAATAAAAATAAATCGACGATACAGGTCACAGATCGCGTTATCGCATATATATATAATTGTTCTTATCATTCTGCCACATGTGTATATATACGTTGCATCTCAAGAGTTGTATTCTAATCTTTTTCTCGGTCTCCTTTAACTTATCCTTACCTTTTCTGCGTTTTCGGAATAAAAATGTTACGGGTGATAAAACCCGTGATAGATATGTGTAAGGTGAAAGCTCCGAAGAGCATCGTCGTAGATTGTGACGCCGGTTTAGACGACGCTTTAGCTTTGATTATTCTCTTGGCAGGTCACGTCAATAATAAAATCAAAGTTAAAGCCGTGACTTGCGTTAACGGGAACACCAATGTAAACAATGTGGTGAAAAATGTATTCAGAACGCTGAATGTATGTGGTTGCCAGGAAGTAAGTTATGCAAATTTATATCATCTACTTGACACAAGAGTTGTATCGCTTGATTTATCAATGGAAATCTTTACCATACATTTTAATTCTTTTTTGCTGTATGTTTTTAAATCATTCGTAATTTTAGATCAATTAGTTAAAAACAAACATAAAATTTCTACAAAAAATATGTTTTCTGAGATATGTTTACATTAATATTAAAGATATCAACTATATGGAGGATTGAAAAATTTATATTTAAGATTATTTATTTATAGATACCAGTTTATCGAGGTGCATACTCGCCTTTACTGAATACTCCAAATGCCAAGGAGACAGCATCCGAGGAATATCATGGATCCGATGGATTTGGAGATGTGTACACTGGTGAGCCAGATATGGATAGACTGCAGAAGGAACATGCCGTGTGCGCTCTGCACAGAATTATAACAGAGGATCCTGGTAATATGTCTTTTCGTCATAGTTACACAATATGCAATATTAACTCAATGCGTTTTATTTATCAATTCCATGTTTTAATCAAGGTAACGTCTCTGTGGTCTGTTTGGGTCCCTTGACTACTTTGAGTTCTTTAGCAACATTTTAATAGTCATCGCTGATCGTGAAAATATTACAGGTCGAACATGCGAAGGTATTCTTGTGTTTGTGTTGATAACTGTTTGGAGTATATTTTCTATTATTTATTTATTTTTTAATTAGAAGCGTGACTCGAGTTGGTCAATAGTCGGTATGTACGTTTGAAGAACGAAAGAAATACTGAGATCTCGAGAGTGGAGTTTTTTTAAACGTTTATGGAGTGAAAAACGAGAAACGTTACATACTGATTATTTTCTGATCGAAATTACTTGGTTGATGTTAATCGCAAATTAACATTGTGTGATTTAACACAATAATCTCAATCTTTTTTCTTCTTCCTCTCTTTTGTATTTATCGAGAATCGTATAATACTTTTAATAGCATTTGAATAACTTGTGTTACTTTTACACACACGTGCGTAAGCAGTAGGTTTTTCTTATTAATCTAGCATTTTCCCTTTGTGCCGAATATGTGGTAACCATTTGTCGAAATTATGCTGGAGTAGCCAGCATAGATCTCACACTCTACAAATTAATTCTTTTTACTTAGTTTTCTTTTTTTCTTTCGAATTGCTCCACTAATCCCTCCTGACCCCATGAACCTTCTTCCCACACATCCGAGATATCCTTGAATGTGCATGTGCGAGCGTTTTATACAGCGAGCACTAACCCCTTTTCCAGGTCCCGGTCTCCTATCTGCAACCCGTGCGTTCTTTCTTTCTTGTTTCAGCGGGCACTTTGCTGTTTTCCAGGATTCTCTAATCCAGGCACTGCGTCGCGAAAAGGAAAAATACCCAAGCCACTACTGGCGGGTGTAGATAGCACAGGTACCTCGAGCACCGCCTCGAGCAAAAGCCGGCTGCTGGATGACTCCTCCGGTAGTGGCGGCGACGTGGTATCGCCGAGTATAATCGAGTTTGCAAACGCGGCGGCCAGACTGAAGGGCACTATCTCGCGGCTATCGGACGGCGGTGGCAAGCCGACCGAGGACATGATGCTGCTCGAGAAGCAGGGCAGGAGCTCGCAGCGACAGCGGATGACATCGGAGGTAGGTGGCGAGCCGCGTCGCGCCGGAAGTCTACCGCCTAGCTCGTTACCCCGACCGCCGAGGACGCTCAAAACGACCAGCAATTCCCGCTACTGTCGACTGAGTGACACAGAAACGCGCAAGAAATCGGATCCCGGACCGTCGCTAGATGCAACGAACGGAAGCGGTGCGAAGGGCGGCGGCGTAAAGATGACGCGCGATTCCTCCGGTAACTGTAGCAGCATCGAGTACGGTAGATTCGATACCGCCGCGAAGGTACTGCGCAGTAAGAAAAAGAGCCCCGTGGAGAGCTTTATGACAAACAGCACACTGAAGAAATCGTCGGCTGGCGCGAGTGGCAGCGGTCACGAATACGAGAGGCTGCAGACCGACACGATTATGGGTGGCGGTCGCAAGAAGTCATCGGTGACCGGCAGTAACGGCTGCATGTCGGACGTCGCGGTGAAGCACAGGGAGATTCAAAGCCGTTCGCTCATACCGCCGCCGCCCCCGTCTTCGTCACGTTCTCGCATCGGCGAGTACGGTCGGCTGAGCGATGGCGAGCCCTCCTCGGTGACGGCCGCCCTCAAGGGAGGCGGCAACACGTTGAGGAAACAGACGGGAGGCTCCACCAGGGGCCAGAGCACCGGTAGTATTGTTAGTAGCAAGAGCGGCGGTCGCGATTCCGGCGGAACCGCCAGCAGCGAAGCATCGACGGCTTCCCTGCCGCCAGTCAAAGCGAGATCAATACCGCGTCCCAACTATCGCATCCAATTTTGAAACGCCCGTACATTTACGCGACGTACATTTTATCCCAAAACATTAGTCTCGAGACAGACGGATCTTGAGGAGCCGAGTAGATGATACTCTTGTTGCAATCAAGGATTTAACACATTTCATTATATTTGACAATTGATTTAATCGGATTAGAATTTCTGCATAAAAAGGCTAGTCGCTACCTTATACGCATGAGTTTTAATGAATGATCGTAAATACGGGCACGAGAGTCGAACAAGTACAAGTTTTCGCGAGGCGAGTTCCGATCGTCGACAACAACCTCCCGTTTCTCGTTGCGGTATAACGTAACCCGTGCAGGTTACATTAAACCGGTTCCAATTAAGCAAACGATCACGAACGATCATCAAATGAATATCAAACAATGAGAGTGAAAAAAACCATTAATTATATTTTTTTTTTAACTTTCTTTTTACACCTAAAATTTTGTATAAAATATTATTTCGTAATTATATTAATTTTAACTTGTAATTAATATATAGTTTTATATATTATTTATATATACATAATATTTTTTATATTATGAATTAAATAACATTTCTTCATTGATATTCGTTCATACTCGTTCGTTCAATTTGTGTTGTGTAACTTTTATATGTAAGATTGCGTTGTACCCGATGCGAGAGGACGGCCATAACGAAAAGGAAGCGCCTAGAGTTGTATCACGCCATTACGATTACTATTCACTATTTAGTAAGCCAATATCGCGCAAGCCATAAGACAGACACGAACGACACACGATCTATAACTAACAATGTAGCGATGTAGTGTATGACCTAGTCATTACCAAAGTAACTCTCTCGGTAGAATAGGAAAGAAGAATTGTCTTCTCCTTAATCGTGTCTCGCGATCTGATCACGGCGGCCTTAATAATACAGGATGGGGAGAAAGATACTTCTACATCAAAAGTGCCTTTTCTCGCAGAATCGCCTCGCGCGCGATTCAGGGAACATTGTTTTTTTTTTTTATAAGGAAGTTCCCGGTTTTTCTTTCTTGAAAAGAAGGAAAAGAGATAATTTAATTTTATCCCGAGAATTCATAGAAACACAACTCCCAAACTCCTATCCTAAATTGGTCTAAGCTCCTCGACAAAAGAGAGAGACTGAACTGCGGGACACCGTGACATTGCGCTTTCCTTTGCAATCCTCGCAATACGCGTTCCCGTATTCGCGTATCTCTTCCTTTTTTTATCATCGTACAGAGACAATACTTCTTTTCGCATAGCTTTACCGTAATGTAATAATTTTTCCTAGAAATTCGCGCATAGATTATATGTAAGTCCGTAATATATTTCTATTTACAGTAATTGGTAACGAAATTAAGATAGTCTCTCCGCGCGTAAAAAAGAAAAAAAAAGAAAAAACCGAAACGATGAACGAAAAACGCCAAAGTATTAAAAGTATAAAACTATTATGTGTAACTATATATATATATATATATATATAGCATACTTTATTTTACTTTTTGCCAACAAGTTAGGCAAGAGAGATACGAGGTTTATCAATAATAAATTACAAGGGGTGGATCGCAAATATGGACCGGGAATTTCTGGAGAGATCTATAACTATGAATGTGATTGGGGGAGAGGGTAGAGGGTGGAAGGGGACCAAGTGAGAAAATACAAAGGAGAGATACACAAATAGAGGTTAGCTACAAGTTTTAAACGACTACTTTATTGGCAATTTTTCTAGGCATCAACCTATACTAATTTTACGTTACGTTTTCGTTTGTGTTGCTGTCGTTCTTGGCGTGCGCCATCGAGCGTACTCTTGCATTAACGTCGTATATTTGCCTGTTCACGTGTATGTATGTGTATGCGTGTACGTGTGTGTGTTATGTGTCGATACACGCGTGTACATCGCGCGATATATAGCATACTTTATTATATAAATTGTCTCCTAATATAATTTACCGTATTTATTTGTGTGTTATGTTGTAGTCATCTAATATGTACGCGTGCGCGCTTATATGTAATTCATAGTCCAATTTTTCCCTCCTCGGTATGTAACGCGTAACACGGCGCAGCTAAGCTGAACTTTCTTTCGAAAATCTTGTAATATACAGATATGGATGGATATTGTGATGTAGCGAAGCTATAGAATAAGGCTCTCTAAGAATAAGCATGCGAGATGGGGTAACGTTTCCCGCGAAATGGCACAAGGTTCGGAATTCGCCGGAAGAGGTTCTTGATAAAAGTGGCGAAATTAATATTTTCAGAGTGACGTTGGTACGAAACAGAATCGCGCTGTTGAATGATAATAATAATGTTGCGTTCGATGATTTGGAATACCGTGTCTCTACTGTATTCCAATCTTCTGGTTCAGCCAAGTGAACTATCGATCTGCTTCGTTTTTCGACTTCGTTCCAGAGGTGTGTTTCCTATTTCCTATCTCTCCCACGCAAGGAGAGACAGGCGAAGCGATATCGCGAGATGGACGGGATACATCAGTGTATCTTTCATATGCAAAAGAATACCAAATGCGACATCACCAAAGAAAGAAAAAGCGTTTATAGTACGGGCTGCGTAGCTATATTATCTACGTGTCCACGTGTAAAAACGAGTATACATGCATCGTTCCTATAATATTTCCACGTGCGAGTTGAAGCGAGATTTCCGGAAGA